GGGCGCTGTCCCTCAGCTCTTCAGCTCAAGGCTAGCACTCTACCACTTGAGCCACAATGCCACTTCCGGCTTTTTTCTTTTTGCTTATGTGGTGCTGAGTAATCGAACCCAGGGCCTCAGGCATGCAAGGCAAGCGCTCTACCACTGAGCCATCTTCCCAGCCCCCTCATTTTATTGTTTTTGCCAGTCCTGGGGCTTGACCTTAGGGCCTGAGCTTACTGTCCCTGAGCTTATTTTGCTCAAAGCTACACTCTACCACTTGAGCAACAGCGCCATTTCTGGCCTTTATTGTTTATGTGGTACTGAGGAATATAACCCAGGGCTTCATGCATGCTAGGCTAGCACTCTACCACTAAATCATATTCCCAGCCTATATACTATTTATTTGTAACTTTTTCTTCTTTTTTCTTTTTTGGGGGGTCTGGTCATGGGGCCTGAATTGTGGACCTGGGCGCTGTTCCTCAGCTCTTCAGCTCAAGGCTAGCATTCTACCACTTGAGCCACAGTGCCACTTCCGGCTTTTTTCTTTTTGCTTATGTGGTGCTGAGTAATCGAACCCAGAGCCTCAGGCATGCAAGGCAAGCGCTCTACCACTGAGCCACCTTCCCAGCCCAACTTTTTCTTCTTTTATAACTGAGATGGTTTCAGATGAAAACGATCATTACCAATGCAAATGTCTAAATACTTACTTCAGTAAGAATTGCTATTGAAGAAATCTCAAAATTGAAAGCTGGTTCTTTAAGGCTTATTCAAAACTAAGTGCCTAAAAACCAATTTCTCAGACTAAGGGTGCAGGTAGAATAGTAGTATCTGCCTAGTGAATATTAAGGCACTGAGTTCAAAATCATAGTAACAAATTACATACACACACACACAGTACTACCAAATAATAAGTAAAATCTCAATTTTCTTACTACCAAATACTACACACAGTACTACCAAATAATAAGAAAATAAAATCTCAATTTTCTTACCCATCTGAAAACTACATGATTCACTAGCATATCAAATGCCTCTCTTTTCACTCCTACCCACAAACCCTCTACTCCCAAATTTCACCTCTGGAGTATTGTGACGAAGCCAGTAATACGCTTCTCGGAAGTCATCAAAAATGATCCTACTGCCATCCCCACCACGGGCAGACAGTACAATGGAGGGAGAAGAGTAGGCCTCACTGGTCACCCAGGTTGAATGGAAAGTGTAGGTGATGAGAAAGAAAGCCATGACCAGTATCATCCCACTTGCCACCTAAAAAAGGAAGAATTGTGCAGTAAACCACACTAAATTTATACAATATAGAAGAGTCAATACCACAAATTGAATGAAACACAGTCAGCCAGAGACTATATCAGTTAACACCAATAACCACCTATGACAGTGCTCTATTTTACAACCCCCACACTAAACATATATGCACACATGCTCACACATTCACACAGTTTCCAAAGCTTGTTAAGTGTTGCGTAGTTCTCACTTCATTCTTAATGGGGTAAGTAGAATCCTGTTGCTTCTTGCTCTTCTTGTCTGGGCGACTTATGTCCAGATTCTTCATATATGTGGAAAGTACCTGGGAGACTCCAATACCAGAAAGAATGCACATAACAGGTGCCAACACTAGCATTAAACGCACCTAAAAGAGACAATAATGATGATCACTGTTCAACAAATTACACATTTATCAATGGACTATGATGTCAAGTTAGTGTTTCAAACGTGATTTGTCTATGATGGTAGAAAATATTTAGTATGGCTATAACAGCATATATCTCTTAAAGTCTGTTGTGATCTAAATGTATACTTATATACATGTGTCCAGAATAATGATACAAAGTATTATTTCTTGGCCATGTGTGGTGGCACATGCCTGTAATCTTAGCACATGGGAGGCTGAAGCAGAAAGATGTGAAAACTGAGCTGAATGTATTTATATAGAGAGGCTGCCCTGGGGTATAAAGTGATACTGTCTCAAAATAAAGTTTATTAATATATGTATATGCATGTATGTGCACATGTACATATATATCATGTTTATATTTGTGGGAAGGAGGAATCGCTAGTGAGATAAAAAATTTTCATATGTGGTCCAAGCTAACCTTAAACTGGAGATCTCCTTACCTCTACCACCAAAATGCTGGGATTAGGGATTACAGGAGTATTCTAACCTACCTGACTATAATGTATTTCTTCTCTTTTGTTGGTCATGGGGCCTAAACTCTGGGCCTGGGTGCTGCCCCTCAGCAATTCATCTCAAGGCTAGCACTCTACCACATTGAGCCACAGCTTTTTCTGCTGATGTAGTACTGAGGAAGCAAACCTCATACACGCAAGGCAAGCACTCTACCACTGAGCCACCTTCCCAGTCCTATTTCTATGTGGCTTAGAATCAAAATAATATGACTATCAAAATAATAAGACTATCTTGCTGCATTATATAAAGTCCCTCCTCGCTTAACAATCTAGCAATCTACTCTTAGGCCTCCAACAAAAATATTAAAAATCACCTCTTCCTCTAGGAGTACTGGCAAGAACTAGATGTTGAACTCAAGAACCTAGTGCTTGCTAGGCAGGAAGTCATGGCACTGAAGCATGCCTTCAACCCCTTTTTCCTTAGGTTGACTTTAAGTTATGATTCTCACCAGGTACCAGTGGCTCACACCTATAATCCTAGTTACTCACAAGGCTGAGATTTTAAAATCACAGTACAAAGCCAGTCGGAGCAGAGCCTCTTAGCTCCAATTAACCAACAAAAAGCCAGAGGCTGAGGAATAGCTCAAGTGATAGAGCACCAGCCATCATCAAAAATATCAAAAGCATAAGCCCTGAGTTCAAGCCCCAGTATCAACACAGAAAACAGCAGCAAGCAGCTTTACAAATCTTAAGTACTCATGGGGAAATACCTATGTAATCATCCTTCTGGGCAGAAACAAATAAAAAAGCACCTCAGAGTAAGGGGTGGAAAGTTTTGCTAGGTCTGAGAACATTTCTCACCATTACAGCTGAAAAGTACATGCTGGTCACACCGTACATGATGATAAAAATCCGGGCATCAGACAAGTTGCTAAAGCAGTAATACAGGCCAACTACAAAAGAGGAAAGGAGAGTAAGCAGCAGAGCCCAGTAGACCCTTGTAACCTCAAAGGAGCCTCTTCTTTGTATGACTGGATGACTTCACATATTTAACTCAACAATTCCACATCAGGAAATTTATCCTAAAACAACAATCAAAGCAATGTGCAAAAATGCTTACTGCACTGTTCTTTATACTAAAACAACCTAAATGTCCAGCTAAGGAGCTCATTAATTATAACATGTTTTCAATTTAATATATTAACTAAAATATTGCTGCATGAGGTTACAAACTACTTGCATTCTTTATACATGTCTACAACAAAGAAAGATTGAATAATCTATCTTAAATATTCCTATAAAATATTAAATAACAGATAATTTTTTTTCTTTCTTTTTTTTTTTTGGTTGGTCATGGGCCTGGGCGCTGTCCCTCAGTTCTTCAGTTCAAGGCTAGTGCTCTACCACTTGAGCCATAGCGCCACTTCTGGTTTTCTGGTGGTCTACTGGAGATCAGAGTCTCACAGACTTTCCTGCCCAGGCTGGCTTTGAACTGTGATCCTCAGATCTCAGCCTCTTAAGTAGCTAGTATTACAAGCGTGAGCCACAGACACCCAGCTTGTTCTCTTTTTTTTTCTTTTTAACAGTGCTGAGGAATGAACTCAGCCATAATGCATGCTAGTCCAGCACTCTTACCATCAAGCTACAATCCCAGCCCTACTAAAATTCTGTTGTTTTTTTTGGGGGGGGGTCAGTCCTGGAGCTTGAACTCAGGGCCTGGGTACTGTCCCTGAGGTTCTTTTGCTCAAGACTAGCACCTTACCACTTGAGCCACAGTGCCACTTCCAGCTTTTTCTCAGTATGAGTAATTTTTTTCTGTGGTACTAAGGAATCAAACTCAGGGCTTCATGCATGCTAGGTGAGCATTCCACCACTAAGCCACATCATCCACTTACTTGTTTTACATGATTCAGGCATATACTTTTTTCCCCTGTGTGTAAAGAATTGTAATAAGGGGCTCGGAATGTGGCTTAGTGGTAGAGTGCTTCCCTAGCATGCATGAAGTCCTGGGTTCAATTCCTCAGTACCACATAAACAGAAAAAGCCAGAAGTAGTATTGTGGCTCAAGTGGTAGAGCACTAGCCTTGAGCAAAACAAGCTCAGGGACAGTGCCCAGGCTCTCAGTTCACACTGCACGACTGAGGGGGGGAAAAAAGTTAACAATGGCTAAAGATAGGTGGTGAAAATTTCTGTACCTTTTATCTTTTTCATTTTACTGAGCTTTTGTTATTTTCATAATATGCAATTACTTTCACAATAAAAATAAATCTTGCACGGGGCGCCGGTGGCTCATGCCTGTAATTTTAGCTACTCAAGAGGCTGAGCTCTGAGGATCACAGTTCAAGTCAGTCAAGGCAGGAAAGTCCGTGAGACTCTCATCTCCAATAAACCAGTCAGAAAACCAGAAGTGGTACTGTCGCTCAAGTGATAGAGTGCTAGCCTTGAGCTGAAGAGCTGAGGAACAGCACTCAAAATCCAAAACAAAATAAATAATTAAAATAAATCTACAAGTTATAAAAGAAAAATGTCGCTTACACTGGCAAATTCTAGGGTATTAGCTAGACTAATCAGAAGACAATGAAGAAGCTTCACTCTCAGCATGCCATTATGAAACTTCAATACTGCCAAAAGAAGAAATGGGGCAAAGGAGGGGAGTACAGCACAAGTACTTAAAAAAAAAAAAAAAAAAAAAAACTGGAATTTAAGGGCTAGAAATTTGGCTCAGTGGCAGAGTGCTTGCCTTGCACGCATAAGGCCCTGGGTTCGAGTCCTCAGCACCTCATAAGCAGAAAAAGCCCGAAGTGGCACTGTGGCTCAAGTGGTAGAGTGTTAGCCTTGAACTAAAGAACTGAGGGACAGCACCCAGACCCAGAGTTCAGGCCCCACGATCAACAAAATAAATAAATAAAAATAAATTTTAAAAAACTTACATTTTAACTTATAAACGTAAGTAAAGCGAAAATTGAAGTACTAAGATTGCTAGCATCTGTAACTTCAACTTCTATACTGCTTCAAACAAAAAAAAATATGCTTAGCCACCTTCTGTTCTGCACAGCAAGAGCAAGCAAACAAAAACAAGGATGACGGTAGTTGATATGTGTGGAATCAAAGGGTGACTCTTACATAGGAGGCCTCTTCAGAATGTAAGGGAAACAGACCTGGAAACATGAAGACAAGGAGCTGCAGATCAAAATAATAGGAGGACCAGGTTGTGGGCTGATGCTCAGACACAGAAGCAATGATGGGGATGTTGTTCTTAGCATAAGAAGGATCCAGCAGTGAGTAGAAACGCCCCGTCCAGGGAGATATTTTTCCTGGCAACCAAGAGACAATATATATTTCACACATATTTCCAATACAAGCATATTATCTTAACTAATCACAACAGTCCATTTTAGTAAGATTCCCAGAAATCAAAAGAACCCGTTTGCTTCAATAGCAGCAATTCTTAGATTCACTCCTTCCCTTTTAAACATGGGAGTACTTTTGTCAATAGCCAGAGAAGAACTGGAATGTATATACACTCAAAATAGAGGCCGAAAATTTTTCTGGAAGGGCTTTAGGCCTAATTTCATAAAATAAAGGCCAATTTTAGACATTAAGTGAAGTACATCCTCTAGACTTGCTCTAAATTAAGCAATACATCATTTCTACACAAAACCAGATTAACCTTTGAGAAGAGGAAGTAAGTAAAATGGAGAAGGAAAATGTGGCACCCAGGCCAAACTATAAACAACCATGATCTAGTTCCTCCAGAATTAAACCACTGCAGTGACATACTGTACAACAAGGAATTTAGGATTTCTATAATCCAGTATGTAGGAAAGGGAAAAAATAAAATTATCAAGGTGAGACAGACATTTCACTGGGTATGATTTAAGAACAGCTCTAATATACATTGTTATATTGAATTTAAATCCTGGGTTGACAAGCCAATTAAGTATATTTTTACAAGAAGGATTTCAGGGGCTGGGAAGATGGCTCAGTGGTAAAGCGCTTGCCTTCCATGCATGAGGCCCTGGGTTCGATTCCCCAGACCACATAAGAAAAAAAGCCAGAAGTGGCGCTATAGCTCAAGTGGTGGAGCGCTAGCCTTGAGCTGAAGAGCTGAAGGACAGTGCCCAGGCCCAGAGTTCAGGCCCCACGACCGGACCCCCCCACCAAAAAAAAAAGGATTTCAGCAATTGAAATAAAAAGAGAAATTGAAGGAAAACACAGAATTTCCTGTGGCCAGGATATATCTTGACTTGTTGAATTTATTTATTTTTATTTATTTTTTTTAATCTGTCGTGGGGCTTGAGCTCTGGGCCTGGATGCTGTCCCTCAGCTCTTCAGCTTAAGGCTAGCGCTCTACCACTTGAGCCAAAGCCTCACTTCCAGCCTTTTCTGTTCATGTGGTGCTGAGGACTTGAACCCAGGGCTTCATGCATGAAGGCAAGCACTCTACTACTGAGCCACCTTCCTGTCCCCCTTTTAGTTTTTAAATTAATAATAAGTTTTTTTATTGTGAAAATACCCTACAGAGGGGTTACAATTACACGAGCAAGGTAATGAGTACATTTCTTATCAAGCATTGTTGCCTCCTCCTTTGTTTCCCCTTACCATCCCTGCCCTCCCATCTCCCCCTCTTCGCCCCCCCCCACCCCCTTCTTGAATTTATTCTACATCAATATCCAGTTTGTATTTAATACTAAAAGCTGTGATCATTCTCTACCTGTCAGCATCAGGAGAGCTCCTACAGTCAGTAGGACAAAGCCTACCAAAGAGATAACACTCCTGAAAAGAACTTCAAATTGCTGTGGATTCAACTTGCTACGCAGGTAATCCACAAAAGCATGGATCTGACAGAGACCAAAGACTCCAAAGGCTGCCATGTGCTCTGATGAAAGGACAGGCTGTAGAGGGGAAAAAATGCATTATGTATGGCAACACTTCAAGAAATAAACTACAATGAGTCTATCTCAGACCTGAATTATCCTGATCTAGTTCACACCAAGATGCCACATGAGCTCTGAGCTCCTTCAGGACGAATACAGAATACCTAGAGTCCCCCCTAAAGCATATCATATGCCACCATAATCATTATATCTTTGCCTTTCGGTCAGGTTATTCATTAGCGTAGACTACAATTTCCACCAAAGTCCATACACTGAATTCTTATTACTGAAGCACAATCTGATAGACCATTCACTACTCCATGTGTCATAGCACTTTGGATCTCTTCCAGCACTTCAACCAGATATTCTCCATCTCCAGTGGGAATTGTCACTGGAACTGGGAGTGTTACAACAGGTTACTAAGGCCACTGCCCAGGTTTCTGACTGGGTAGCTCTGTGAAAGGGATCTACAATCTCTATTTCTAACAAGTTCCCAGACAATGCATGTCTGTAAACTACTTTGCAAACCACTATCCTATAAGAGAGGTTACAGACAGTTGTATATATTTTCTTTTCTTTTCTTTTTTTGTCAGTTGTGGGGCTTGAACTCTGGGCCTGGGCGCTGTCCCTCAACTCTTTAGCTCAAAGCTAGCACTTTACCACTTAAGCCACAGTGCCACTTCCAGTTTTCTGGTAGGTTATTGGAGATAAGAGTCTCACAGACTTTTCCTGCTCCATGACTGAACCATAATCCTCAGATCTCAGCCTCCTGAGTAGCTAGGATTATAGGTATGAGCCACTGGCACCCAGCTAAGACTAACTTCTTTAAGAACTATGAAATATTTTTACTCTTCACATTTCCCGGTGGTTAACAGCAATTACACACAAACAGCAAAGAAATAATTATATACAGTAGAATCTCTGAATATTCTTTCATTAGAATTTTTAAATGAGATATCAAACACACCATGATTCTGACTTAACAGTTGTCTGCTTAAAAGATTTGTGCTCTGATTCCTGAAGAACTTCCACAAGAGGCCCCACTAAGAAAATCAGGATTAGCCGGGCACTGGTGGCTCAAGTCTGTAATCCTAGCTACTCAGGAGGCTGAGATCTGAGGATCATGGTTCAAAGCCAGCCTGGGCAGTAAAATCCGTGAGACTCTTATCTCCAATAAAACACACAGAAAACTGGAAGTGGTGCTGTGGCTCAAGCGGTAGAGCGCTTGCCTTGAGCTGAAGAGAACAGGGACAGCACCCAGGCCCAGAGTTCAAGCCCCACGACCCACCATAAAAAAAAAGAAAAGAAAATCAGGATTAACTGTCATTAAATGGCATCCTTAGCATTGAAAAGGACTAGAAATTATAATAATTTTTGTAAAATATAATTTTGTTAAATTATCAACTCAGCTCAATAACAACTCCTGAGTAACAGGGACAAGAAGTGTGTGCCACCACATCCCACGAAAACATCCTCCCCATCCCTATAACCTTTTAGGTAAGAGGCATAAATTCAAACATCTTCAAGCAAATAATAACATGTCCCCGAAGCAGGTTTTAACAACCAATGATTCTATTGCTGTTTTTGTTGACATAAGCAGTCCAGGATCAAAGACTTGAGTCATTCTTCTAAACAGAATCTAAGATAAATTAAACTAGTCAGAGCAGAAACGGAAAACACTAGTCAGTCTAGGGCTCACCTGAAAACCCACAAAGGAGATCTGCATGGAAAGAATGGTGCCCAGGCAGTAAACAGTGCAGTAGGCCACATAGATACGATGGGAGAAACGGCCTGTTAGCATAAGCACCAGGACATGGAGAGGGATCAAGTTTATCAGGAACACATAACCTCCCCATGAAGAGACCTATGAGGGAAAGAAAAAAAAAATCATATATTATGCGTGTGTGTGTGTGTGTGTGTGTGTTTGTGTGTGTGTGTGTGTGTATATATATATATAATATTTAGTGGCAAATTAATTGCCTAACATACATGAGATCTTGGGCTCCAGGAAAAAAATTTTTAAAAGGACTTGGGGAAGGGAGGGAATGCACACACAAATATAGTTACCATGTAGAAATATGCAAGGGCACACTTGGCAGCCCAGTAGATGGAACCAGTCTTCACTGCCTTTATCCACATGTAATAGGTGAGTAGCATACAAAAGATGGCAATCCCTGCCAGGGAGAAAAAAAAAAAAACACCAAAAATTAAGAGACTATGCTGTATAATGGTTAATAACACTATTCTGGAACAGACTGCCTGGATATGTATCTCAGCTCTACTATCCAGTAAAAGTGTAATTTTACAACCCATTGTCTCAGTTTCCTGTGGAAGGTCTAACAGTACTGCTTCATAAAACCACTGCGGAGACAACTGTAATTAGTTTACATGAAGCAGTTAGAACACTACGTAGCATGCAGTAATAAGCATTCAGCCAGCCATGATCATTTCCAGGCATTAGATTTCCTGCTAAGTCCTATGTATATCACACACTATCGGGTACCATCTCACCTATAGATGTTAACAAAAGCTGGCCCATAGTCGCTGGTTGTTACTCTTCTTAAATAGTTACCTAGTGATGTTCCAAACCTAGGACCCACCTCAACTCAACCACTTCCAAAATGCCTTCCTTGATCAAAACTGCTCTCCTTATCCTGTATTTCCAAAGTACTCTGATGACAATTCTATCATGATAACACAGCAATAGCTGCCTTTTACTGGAGGAAGGGAAGGGTTGTTTGGGGGGGGGGGGGATTTCTTTGTTTTTACCAGGAAGTGGTAGGTGAATTGGGACATCTTTGTCCCATACTGGCCTTGAAATTATCGTCCTTCTGACTATCCTCCAAGATTCTGAGATTACAGATACACAACTTTGGAACTACCTTTATAAAGTCTACTTTTATATATATATACTTTATATATAATAGAATATATGCAATGTAAATTGTATTTACTAGCTATCCCTTCAACTTCTTAATTATGAACCAAAATAATTTTATTATCTATGGTATTTTTCTCAATAATATTCACAAATATACGTTGAACTGAAAATAAAGCATAGTGGCTTGGGGGAAAAGACTGGGAGGACCCAATTTCAAGGGAAACCCAGACAAAAATTTAGCCAGATCCCATCTCAACCAATTGGATATTAATTATAGAGCACACCTGTGGTCTCAGCTACACAGGAGTAGGGTAATAGGATATCAGGCCAAGGCCAGCCATATCAGTAATATAAACCTACCTACTTAAAATAACTAAACTTCAGGGTACACTGCACTTACAAACGGATTTGTTGACTGGCAATCCCTTTATATACTACTTAAAGATGATAAAAATTTAACTAAAAGAAAAAAAATAACTAAACTGCAGGTTAGCAGTGGCTCACATCTATGATCCTACCTACTCAGAAAGCTAAAATTTGACAATCACAGTTTTGAAGCCCGTCCAGACAGAAAAATCCTCAGGATTCTTATCTCCAATTAACAAGCAAAAAACACAGAACTGGAGATGTGGCTCAAATGGTACAGTACCACTAATCAGGAAAAAAAAGAGGACTCAAGAGTAGAGCACCTGTTTAGAAGTTCAAGGTTAAGATCAAGCCCCAGTACCACAAAATAAGTGAAATATAAAAATATCAATAAAAGTAATAACTTTAAAGGTATTTATATTCCTTATTTAGGAAATTTTTCTTTTATAGTTTTATATTTTGAGAGTAATAGTATTTATACTCAGTGCCTTGTGCTTGCTAATAAGGCACTCTACCATTTAAACTACACCCAAATCCCTTATATAGGAAAATAAAGCAAATGATGAGCCTTACTCATAACTCTAGAGATGAAATAAAAGCTTTTAAGGAAAGTTCTCACAGATAGGTACTAGAGCACTAGTGGCACTACTCAGAAGTCTGAGATCTGAGGATCACAGTTCAAAGCCAGCCCAGGCAGACAAATCTGGGAGATTCATCACCAATTATCCAGCAAAAGGTCAAAAGTGAAGTGTGGCTCAAGTGTCAGAGATCCAGCGTTCAGTGAAAAAGCTAAGAGCAAAGGCTCAAGTTCAAGTGTCATCCAGTATTAGCAAACACATAAAATTCTCACTACCTTTTTAGAAGAAATGACAGAAGGCGAACAGAAGTTCTCTGAGAACTTTTCCTGCCCATTTCTAGTCTACTCATCAGATACCATTTTTATTATTGCTAAGGATTATTATTATTGCCAGATACTACTGCACTTTATGAAGTTCTGTTAGATAATAAACAGATTTCCTTCAGCAATTAAAATCTTACCTTCATTATCATATGATCCAGCTACAGATCGAGAAATATAGCCAGGAACTACAGCAATCATGGCGGCAGCAAGAAGCCCAGCCCCTGCATCCTGTAAGAAAAGAGAAATACTAATGAGTTAACTCCAACACACTTCTCAAAGAACAGAATGAATACCTCCTAGCTCAATCTGTTTACTCCTAGTCTATTTAATAATGGGCCCAGAGGAAGTCCAACAACTTCCCAAGTAGATGCAAGAAATGCTCACAGAAAAAAATGCTGGAGCATGGCACTGGTGGCTCAGGCCTGTAATCCTAGCTACTGAGAAGACTGAGATCTGAGGATCACCCTTCAAAGCCAGCCCGGGCAGGAAAATCTGTGAAACTCTTATCTCCAAAAAACCACCAGTAAACCAAAAGTGGTGCTGTGGCTCAAGCAGTAGAGCACTTGCCTTGAGCTGAAGAGCACAGGGACAGCGCCCAAGCCCAGAGTTCAAGCCCCATGACAGACAAAAAAAAAAAAAAGCTGGAAATTTCACAATCGCGCTCCCATCATGACACTCGATCACTAAATTTAAACTGAGTACTCGCACACTTGAGACAGACTAATAATGTTGAACTTATGGGAATGGGGGTATATGCCCACAATCTTAGCAGGCTAATGCATAAACTCAAAGCCAAGCTGAACTACATCCTAAGATCCTATCTGAAACAAAGAGACACACAGATACAGAGATACATGCAGACAGACAGACAGACACATACACACACACACACACACAAACACAGCTGAAAATATCAGTTTGCCCCAGAATGGGTTGTCTGCAAAAATCCCCAGGCTTATCAGTCCTTCCCTTTAACACTAATGTACAGCACACAAACATCAGTCACCAGCAAAGCCTCTAAAAATGCAACATATCAAAGGAAGAAGGTAATTAGTATCTAAGTTAAAAAGCTAAAAAAGACAGCTGGGCATAGTAGCAAAAGCCTGTAATGGCAGTACTCAAGAGGCGAAGGTAGGAAGATTTTAAGTTCAAAAACATATATCCCTTGAGTTCAAGGGATATAAAGCAAGACTCTATTTCACTTGGACTGAATATGCTAAGAGCTTAAGTCATCTTTGAGCTCAGCAAAGAAACAAAATATAACCCAGACTTATTAGGTAGGCACTTGGTAGGCTGAGGCCAACCAGGGCTTTATGGCAAGTGACAGACCAACTAGGCTGCATAATGAGACTCTGCCCACTCTACCTCACATACACACACAAAGACTTGTCTACTGATAAGAGTTAAATTTAGGACAAGAGCAGCAAAAGGATAAAAAATTTTCCAAATTAAACAAATTTCCTAAACACTCCTACTAGTTGGTCTTGTCTCCTGTATTTCCCTAACACTATAGCCAAAGATCAAAATAGACTTCAGGAAACCAGGATCAGCAAAGCTGAAACCTGGGTGGGAAAAAGCATTGTCAAGTAGATTACACTAAGTGGCTTAGGAATTCTGAATAAATGTTTATAAAAAAATGAATAGAGGGGCTGGGAAGGTGGCTCAGTGGTAGAGCGCTTGCCTTGCATGCATGAGGCCCTGAGTTCGATTCCTCAGCACCACATAAGCAAAAAGAAAAAAGTCAGAAGTGGCGCTGTGGCTCAAGTGGTAGAGCGCTAGTCTTGAGCTGAAGAGCTGAGGGACAGCGCCCAGGCCCAGAGTTCCAAGAAAAAAAAAAAAAAAGAAGAGATAGCCAGCACCAGTGGCTCACACCTGTAATCCTAGCTATCCAGGAAGCTGAGATCTGAGGATCACGGTTCAAAGCCAGCTGGGGCAGGAAAGTCAGTAACACTCTTACGTCCAATTAACCACCAGAAAACCGGAAGTGGTGTTATGGCTCAAGTAGTAGAGCACTGGCCTTGAGCTGAAGAGCTGAGGGGCAGTGCCCAGGCCCAAAGTTCAAGCCTTATGACAAAAACAACAACAAAAAAACCCCCACATAATTGTGATTCTTTTCTGTAGAAATAACTAACCACTTTGGAAAGCTTCATACAGGGTTTTTCCCCTTTTACTTATATAGTGAGGGCTTCAAAATCTAAACCTCTTATTTTTAATTTTAAATGTTTTTTTCTTTATAAAGAAATTAACATTTTATTTCCAAATGCCTTTCATAAAGGAAAACAGTGGCTAATGATTAAAAAAAAAAAAAAGCATACCTTCTAAGTGGAGAATGCAGAATTAATTCAGCCCAATAGGTGCTGTCATTAGCCTGTCTCCCTGCCCTTCTAAGCTTCTCAGTCCCCCATCCTCCAGCATCTACTAGCAAAGTTCAATGACACATTCCCAAGCTTCTTGTCACCCCAAAGACTTCACCTTGAGTTCTTTGGTAAGGTGGTATGTGACAATGGTGGTAAAGGAGGAGAAAAGAGGAGCCAGGAACACACACACATTCCGGATGTCAATAGTGATGTGGAAAAAATGGAGCACATGGTAGATTGCAGCAGACGTGATCATTAGGCCTACAATAGGAAGAAGAAAGGCATTAGATTGTCCCAGTAAGATGAAGAACTTGAGATAAAGGGCCAATCCAAATATTGATAAGAGTGACTACAAGGTCTTGACAAATGACCAGAAAAATACTAACACAACAAATGTAGTCAGTAGTCTTCTAATCATCTCTCCTGCAAATTTAATCGTAAGTCCAGAATACATGAAAAACCACCCACTCTCCAGTCCATAACATATTCTTTGGAAATCTATAATCAGGATAAAATTACTAGTGTTACAAAATGAAACTATTAAAAATAAACTAGTCTGTATCATTTAAATACTATATTTACTTTTTCTTAATCTTTTTCTCCTCACCTGGATATATTGTTCCTCCAATAATTCGTCCCAATGGATACCAGGCCCTGTCATCAAACCAGTTATGGAATTTGTAAAACCCCTCCTCAGCCAGGAACCGAGTAGTCCGGTAATTAAAATACCTAGAGGAAGAAAAAAAGAAACTGTCTCCTCTTCTTCCTATTTACTTTTACTAATGTGTAGAGAATATTGCTCCTCATTGAGAAACTTACCATTACTTGAATAAAAGTACATTTGGCACCAAAAATTATCTCTTTGGTTAGGACATTAACATTAATCTCCTACTTATTTCTACTTTGTGTCTGTCTCAATGAACACATTGTTCTTCTCATAAGGAAGTGAGCAACATCTTAATATTGCCAGAAAGCATTTAAGTATAATATTTGACCAGGCTGGGATGTGGCAGGAAAAAGAACCAATAAAAAAAATTCAAAGAATCAAAAGATAAGACACTGAAATGTAGACTCTAGTGGATTTTGGATCTCTTCAAGTGACAGAAACACATTCTTTTTTAAATTCTGTACTACATACAAGAACACATGGATTACACTAAGTACTGAACATCTTCACAATACTGGTATAAAACCATATGCAGAATGGAAAAAATTTCAACCCACACTGTAACAAAAACTTAGTGAGTCTTAAAACTTTTAACAAGGCCTGCTCCTATTATTTCAAATAATCCACCTACATTGTAGCATAAAATTATAGATTACACAAAAAATACTTGACATGAAATGCTTAGAGCTATTGTTCTAGATATAAGCAATATAAGTCCTTTTTGGTTTCTCATTTAAAAAGAAATGGGGTGTGGAGGGGTGGGGTCAGAGGCAAAAATAAAGCATTAAATAAATGGGTGTCAAACTACGATGGTTTAATCAACTCAGCTATTCATAACTAACCATCCTCCCTGCCTGCCTCCCTAACCCTATTTTCTCCTTGGTCAGTCAAGTTTTGGTAGCCTAAGTAAAGAGAAGCAGCAGATGGCAGCAATCTCAACTCATCACAGATGAGTGTTATTTTGAGAACTGTCAGAGAGACAGAAGGAATGAGGAAAAAGGGCAATCAACATGTGAAAGAATGTGTCCTACCAGTACAAGGCACAGTGAGAGAAACAAAGGAAGGTCTGACTGGGTTTATGCTTTGGGGCCCATTTCCTATTCTGCAAAAGGAAGACAAGTCACATAATCTCTATGGTCCCTTCCAGATCTATGATTACACAACAGATACCTTTGGTTTTGCTAACCATTCATCTCAGTATTTCTCTATCTAAAGTCTAAGAAAGAATTCCTAAAGAGTCTGATCAAAAATAAAAGGGGGGGGGAGGTTGGGATTGTGGATCAAATGGTAGTGCACTTGCCACAGTATGCATGAAGCCATTGGTTCAATGAAAAAGGGAAGAAGAGATATAGATAAGCAAAGGAGAGACAGAATGGTAAGAAAGCAGAAAAGAAGTAGGGAAGAGAAAGGAAAGGAGAGAAAGGGAGGAAAGGAAGAAGGGAGGGAAGAAAAGAATTTGTGTAATACCTCAAAATCCTTTAAAATATGTACGTAAGGAAGTGGCCCTGTGGCTTAAGTGGTACAGCACTCGCCTTGAGCTGAAGAGCTGAGGGACAGCGCCCAGGGCCAGAGTTCAAGCCCCATGACCAAAAAAAAAAAAAAAAAAAGAATAACTTAAAATATGTTCATAAAGCCAAGCATTAGTGGCTCATGCCTATAATCATAGCTATTCAGGAGGCTGAGATCTGAAGATCACTGTTTGAAGCCAGAACAAGCAGCAAAGTCTGTGAGACTCATTATCTCTAATAAACCACTCAGAAAAAGCTAGAAGTGGTGCTGTAGCTCAAGTGGTAGATGGCTAGCCTTGAGGAAAAGAATCTCAGTAACAGTAACATCACCTAAACCCTGAGTTCAAGCCCAAGACCTGTATGCGTGCACAGATGCACACATATCTACATAGCAATACATTAACATATTAGTTGCTTATCTTAAACTTTTCAGCAAATGCTCTACAAATATACAGGTTTTTTTGTTTGTACTACTGGGATTTGAACTTAGAACCTCACACTTGCTAGCTAGGCAAGCACTTTAATACTTGAGCCACACATCCACCCAACTATGCTTTTTTAAAATAGCTAACTGTAACCCCTCCATAAATCACCTTTATAATAAAAAATTTAAGCTAAATAAACCTTTTATATTTCTAAGTGCAAATGTACAAAATCAAATAGGCTACTTTTGTAGTAAATAGGCTAGATGCAGTGGCTCACACCTGTAATCCCAGCTATTGTGGAGACAGAGATTGGGAGGATCATATTCAAAATCAGCTGAGACATAGTTACAAGACTCCAACACAACAACAACAAAATGCTACATGATTCAAGCCTGTTACCTCAGCTACCCGGGAGAAATACATAGGAAGACCTAGGTCCAGGCCAACCAGACAAAAGAAATGCAAGACCCTATGTGAAAAAGTAAGCATAAAGAGTCATAGTCATAGCTCAAGTGTTAGAATGCCTGCCTAGCAAGAACAAACCCTTAAATTCAAACTATAGGACGATCAAAAACAAAAAAAAGACATAGAATAATAATCTGATTCTGGGAAAGGAGGAGTGATAACTTGAGACTGATTGAGTAGAACACATTGTATTTATGACTAGAAATGTCAAAATGAAATTCTATCATCATCCTCCTATAACTTATATATACCTGTAATATATGCCTGTAATCCTAGCTACTCAGGAGGCTGAGATCTGAGGATTGCAGTTCAAAGCCAGCCCAGGCAGAAAAAGTCTGTGAGACTCTTATCTCCAATAAACCACCATAAAAAAAACAGAAGTGGTGCTGTGGCTCCAGTGGTAGAGCTCTGGCCTTGAGCTGAAGAGCTGATGGACAGCGCCCAGGCCCAGAGTTCAAGCCCTATGACCCGTAAAGACAAAAACAAAAACAAAAACACCTCCTCAAACTCTTCCTAAGCCTCAACTTTAGGCAATATAATATAGCAAAATCAGCCCTGAAGTTAAGACAACATTATGTTCCAATCTTGGAATGTATATAACAACTCCTGAATCTCTTCATTAGCAAAAAGAGGTAACAGTAAATACATCTCACACAGTTGCTGCAAGGATTTAGAAGTCATCTGTAAAACAGTGCTTGGAACAAACTGAATGCTTAGTAAATGTTAGTTATTAATACTGAGGGTCTGTATCATTTTTAATCTAATAAAATCCTTAACCAAACTAGTTTTTTTTTTCCCTTATTTATAACAAGGTTTCACTACTTAGCCATAGTTAATCTCCACAATCCTCCTGACTCCAATTCTGCAATGCTGGTAGTACAGGAGCATACTACCACACCCAGCTCTCTTAGTTTTAGTATTTCACACCACCTTAGGATTTAATAAGCTAAATTTCTATTAAATAAATGATTAAATCAAATTTTTTAAAGTCCTAATCTCTAGTTCATGACACTGTAATTCCCTTTAGAGCCCTAAATATACTCCTTTTTCCCTCAATCTGCAACATTACTCTTGACCAAAGAGAAGCCAGACTTCTCTTAGTCTAGCCAGAATTTAAGTGATAGGCAGGCATAACAACAATATTCATCACATCTTCTGAGTTCACAGGACTCATCTGTTCAATTCTACCAAAGAGGATATCATCATCTCCTTTGGAAATCTCAAAGGGCTTTCATAATGTACTGAAAAGACATTATCACTGAGAATTGACTGGAAATTGCATCTGAAACCCATGAACTTGAATAACTCCCAAAGGAAAATACAGCAAATCCTTGGTACCCAGGGGCATCCAGTTCCAAGGAGACTGCTACTAAGGTAAGAACTTTGAATGCTCAGGCTATGTAGAATTCAATACTGTACTACAGATGTTTGATTCCTTTTTCCTATACCACTACCCAACTTCAACTTCCACTGAAATCATTCAGCCTTTCAGCAAACCTAAAACATTCACTTTGTCTCGTAAAACACATTATGTGCTTGGCTCGGGAAGATTATCCTAACTTTCACCTTGATTTTTAGGAAGCAGTTTATTTGGGGAAGGTATAGTTTCACAAAATTAAGGACAAAGAACACTCAGCAGAAGACATACAATTTAAAATTGATAACAGAACTAAGAGTTTGTTTACATCAACTGAGTTTTAAAAAATATTCTTGAGAAACTATTTTTTCTTATGGAATTGTTAACTCATTTGAACAACTACTTTAATAATAGTAATAATAATTTTTTTAAACAAAGCCAGGCACTGGTGGCTCATGCCTGTAATCCTAACTACTGAGGAGGCACAGTTCGAAGCCAGTTTAGGGAAGAAAAGTCCATGAGTCTCCTATCCTCATTAACCACAAAATACCAGAAGTGGAGCTTCCAGCTCAAGTGGTAAAGCACTAACCCTGAGCAAAAGACCTCCAGGACGGTCTCCATACCCTGAGTTCAAGCCCCATACCAGCACACACATGCAATAGCAAAAAAAATAGCAAAGCTTTTTTTTTTTTTTTTTGGGGGGGGGTCGGGTCGTGGGGCCTGAACTCTGGGCCTGGGCGCTGTCCCTCAGCTCTTCAGCTCAAGGCTAGTGCTCTACCATTTGAGCCACAGCACCACTTCCAGCTTTTTTCTTTTTGCTTAGGTGGTGCTGAAGAATCGAACCCAGGGCCTCATGCATGCAAGGCAAGCGCTCTACCACTGAGCCACCTTCCCAGCCCCATAGCAAAGCTTTTTTTAAAACTGCATTTGCTCAAAGACACATGAAATAAATCCAGAAATAAGGTGAGCTTACTCTAATACTAGTTCAAGCAAAGATACTCACGGATCAAACTCATGGATAACACTTTCAAATCTCAGGACAGCAAAGAGACGAGTGGAGAAAGCTACAAAAACCAGAGAACAAATATTTTAGTGATAATGTGCCATGAAAGAAGAAGAAGAACAGTAAATAGCCTTATAGAGAAAATGAATTCTCCAACACAGGGATCTAGGAAATACTGAATAAAATCTTTATCTAGCTCCCTAACATACTGGAAACAAAGTCACACTCTGGCATCTATATTTCCAACTAAACAGCACATACACAGAACTATATTTACTTACATTTACTTACACTATATTGAGCTTAGATTATCTTTTACATAGATGGACCATATACAAATTAACCATACTCTCAGACCAAACTAAAAGGCATGTCAAACTCATGAAGAGCTAGAAAATCTAAAAACAAAACAAAAAAATAGCAAATTCTCAAGAGATTTTCAAAAATACTAAGGTTAAAAAAAAAGTCACTGAGATAAGTACTAAGTTTATAAAATTTAGTATCCAATGGTCCTCATTTCTCTTTTGGCCCTATGAGGAAAACAGAACTGGTATGGTACACTTCCCATTTTCTGACCAGCCTTGATTTTTACATGCTTTTGTGTCTTTTATTTTGCTTTCACAAAACTACAGTGAAGAATAGCAACCTGCCAAAACAAGGCATTTTAAGAAAAGCATTTTCAATTCTTTTCAAGGTTTTTTCTTTCCTTCCCCAGAGGAAGAGGTCCATGTGAATACTCACATAACACAGCAGCCATCGACAGAATGAGAAGTTTTAGAAGTGTGTCCTGCTTCTCATAGGACAACCGTAAAAATCCAAGTTTAGTCATCTTGACATCAACGGGTTGCACCAGATAATACTTAAATAACTAAAACACAAAAGTCAAGACCATATGTTATTGAATACCCTCAATTTACTTAACTTCAATCTTTCTTTTTCTTTATTCTTTTTTTTTTTGTCAGTCGTGGGGCTTGAACTCTGGGCTTGGGCACTGTCCCTCAGCTCTTCAGCTCAAGGCAAGCACTCTACCACTGGAGCCACAGTGCCACTTCCAGTTTTCTAGTGGTTTTGTGGAGATAGGAGTCTCACGGACTTCCATGCCCGGGCTGGCTTTGAACCGTGATCCTCAGATCTCAGCCTCCTGAGTAGCTAGGATTACAGGCCTAAGCCACCGGTGCCTGGCAACTTCAATCTTTTATGATGAGAAAGAATCTTAATATACATGAGTTAATGAAAACACTAGGGTAATACCAAGACCCAAGCTTTGCCTGAGGTAAAGCAAGGAAGCAGACAATCATGTCTACAAGGTAGATCTAAAACAGCATAACCAAAGTTAATACCAAACTGGTTACCATGATGTAACCCAGTACCTGGGAGACTAATGCAGGAGGATTACAAATTCTAGGTCAGCCTGGTCATCTTGGTAAGACCATGACTCAAAATAGAAATTTTACAAAGGGGCTGAAGAAGTCAAGATGCCAGTGGCTCAGGAGGCTGAGAAATGAAGAAACAGGTACAAAAGCCAGCCCAGGCAGACAAATCCAAGACACTTTAATACAATTAACCAGCAAAAAGCTGAAATTGGAGGTGTGGTTCAAGCATGGAGCTCTAGCAAAAAGAAAAGAAGCAAAGTGAGAGTTCAAGGCCATGAGTTCAAGCCTTAGTACTGGCACAAAACAGGGGACATGGCAATAGAGCTTAGCAGTAAAGCACTTGTTTAGTATACAAGAAGCATTTAGTTCCACCTCCCAGTACCACATTTTAAAAAACAAAATTTTTAATTCTATTTCCCATTCATTCCTTCACAACTAAGTACAAAAACAACCAGCAAATTATTGTACAATAGGAATAAAGCAGAAACATAAAAGCAAAAAAACATGGTGGAGGGAAGACATGCAAAAATCAGTAAGATGGCAAACAACAACAAAAAAAATGTTAATGAAATGAAGAAAGAAAGAGCTTGGAGAAATCCAAGAATGTATAAAAACAAGTAGGGAATGAACATTAAGTACAGAAGTGAAAATAGAAAGAGGAAAAATAGAAATCATGACTGCATCCGCATAATTTCCAGCTCTAAACTGAAGTTTCAACTGACTGCCTATAAGCTTCTTTCTGTTCCAAATTCCAACGGAGATTTTATGAAGTAAACTGCATGAGCAATCACCAATTCAGGTGCAATGGAGCACTCATGAAGAAAGATTCAGAGACCACTGTACTTTGAATGCCATAATTCACACTATAACTACTGCTCAGATCTATTGCCCTTTCAAGCAGATTTCAGGGCATCCCATCTTCATAATGAACCCTGCTGACTTAAATGATTCCATGACACAGAGACAGTTCACAGCACCAGATGATAATCTAAAGGGAAAAGAAAATGTTTCCTACTGAAGAAGAAAAAAGGTCAGAGGAAAAAAACTGGATTAAAATGTCCAGGGAAGCAGTTTGTGCACTGTTCTGAATGGGGTTCATTTGATGAATAGTTGCATGTACCAATTTACCACAGCAGCTGTTGGTGAAAGAGGAAGGAATAAAAAAATAAAAAAAAGTTATGTTAAAATTACTCAAAACTATACAGAAGCAAATTAAAAGAGCCAGTTATCTACTTTTATTGAAAAGAGGGGGGAAAAAGTCACACTGAACTAGGTGGAAGGGTTGAAGCATCATATATTCCTCACACCAACACCACAAAGTCTAACTGGCCCAGAAGGACCTTTTTAGATGTGTGTGTCTAATTACAATCCCAAAGGGAAGCCTATCTTGCATTTAAGACCTGAGAAGCCAAGAAGCCAGTCCTGTCTCAGGTTTGCAGCTCTTTTTTCTAGAATGACTGAAACGGAAACAAATCTAACACCACTGAGTTTGATATAATCCACACCACACTTGAAGAGTAAGTAGAGAAAATACGTGGGAGGGATCTCGACTTGAAACCTGAGTAAAGGAGGTGGTAATATAATCTGATTGAGTTTTGGGGTCTCGGGTCGTTTTCTCACGTCTCCAAGGCAAAGAAGGGCAAAGACCATTTTCTTTAAAACACCAGCATCAAGTCGATGCTTGCACCTGTAAATCCTAGCTACTCACAAGGCTGAGATCCCAGGACCCAGGTTCAAAGCCTGTTAGGATCCAGTGAGACCTTTTATCCCTACTCAACCACCAAGAAACGGGAAGTGAAGTTGTGGCTCGAGTGGGAGAGCGTCAGCCTTGAATGAAGAAGCTCAGAGACAGAGCCAGTACCTGCACACACACACACACAGGACCGGAGTTCAAACCCCAGTACCTGCACACACACACACACACACACACACACACAACCCCAGTACCTGCGCACACACACACACACACGAAAAAAAAAGAAGTTCAGCATCTGCTTTTCCGTATCAGCTGTGCCCTGTCCCCCTGGCTAGCTCTGGCTTCCGAGGCCGCCCAGTTCTCCCACATTATTTTCACCCGGTTCCACTGGGCTCCCCCACCCCACTACTTCGGCTCCCGCCTCAGGTCCCGCCCCAGGGCTTACCACTCGGACCCCACCCGCCGCGGGACCTCCCCCTCCAACCCGACCTCGGCATCCGACGTGGCTTCCCCTCCGAACTGGTCCCGGGCCCCCTTCGACCCCACGCCCCGTCCCCACGCCGCTCCCTGCACCGCTCCGCCGACCCTCCCAGCCTGCCTTCCATTCCGGGGGGGGGGGGTCCCCACACCACACCCCACGCCCCCCTCCAGGGCAAAGCCCCAAGCTCTGCTCCCCACCCCCTCTCAGAACCTGCTTCCTGCACTTCGTTCACACCCGCTACACGCATGAACTGCACCCGGCGCTAATTCTCAAGTTTTACCCTACGGCCTTCTCACCTGGCCGCGGTTCCTTCAGAATCCGCTGCTCTCGCTTGGCCATCCGTTCAGATGGCGCACCCAACCCTGGCAACGGCCGGGTCCCACCTCCCAGGTCGCTTCACATTGGTTGACTCTGAGCCAAGACGACGTCTCCGGAGGGCGATAGGATTACAGTGCTGTCTGTCAAGTCGGGAGGCGTGGACCCAGCCGCGCTCCCACTTCTTAATTGGGCGATACAGCTATCACTAAAGAGTTAGAAGCGGGACTTAGAGCTCTCACCGAGCTGTCATAGGTGGGTGCATGAGAGTGAAGAGCGCGGAAAGAACGTGCTGAGAGGAGTTCGGTTGAGCGCTGAGGAGTGACGTGTCCGTCTGCGGACCGGAAGGAGACGCGTGGGGAGGCGGGGCCAGTTTGCCCTAGACACGTGACCAGAAGCGGAACTTACTCGGAGAAACTGACCAACGTCCAAATCCGTAACTGCGGGTACTGGAGACTGCTGGTGGGCCAGTTTTTAAGGTACACGGACCTGATAAAAGCTTAAAGGGGAGGAGGAAAGGGTGCCCTGCCTGTTCTCAGTGAGAACCCATACACTTCCTAGTCCCAGTTTGCTCAGGATTTGCCTAACTTGCTCAAGAAAAGCCTTAAAATCAAACAAAAACGTATGCTCCGATAATTGCTATAAAGCGATCCCTAGCAAATTTCACGAGGCATTTGCCTTAAGTAATCCGTGGCTCTGAGGAAGCGTGCCTAGGCCTCAAAGGGTTGTTAGGGGCGTGCTGGAAGAACCGGCACTGCATGGCTGGACACCCAGCAGTGGACCAAGGGGCTGCCCCGCCCTGCTCTGCCAGAGCTGAGCGGCCGGGAGCTCACGCCTGACATCCTAGCTACGCATAGGTTGAGAGCTGACAAAGGTTCAAAGCCAGTCCGGGCAGGAAAGCCTGAGACTCTTTTCTGGCTCATGCCTGTAATCCCCAGCTACTTGGAAGGCTGAGGCAAGAAAACAAGTCGGAGACTAGCTTGACAACTTACTTAAACCTTGTCACAAAACATAAAAGGGCTGGGTTGTATCTCAATAGCAGAGCACTTGAATAGCAAGCTCATGAGACCCAGTACGGGGGTGTGGGGGTGGGGGAGCGGGAGGGTGTTAATATGTGGCTAATTAGATAACTAGTATCCATCCTTTCTAAAACTTGGAAAAGTGAGTTCAAATAAAGCATTTGCTCTTCAGTTCCAAGCTGAAGAAATACTGAGATCTTTTTCAACTCATCCCCATAACTAGCAGGAAATAGTTCTCTATGGTACCGGTACCATCAAAAGACTAGAGCCGGGCGCTGGTGGCTCACGCCTGTAATCCTAGCTACTCAGGAGGCTGAGATCTGAGGATCACGGTTCAAAGCCAGCCCGGGCAGGAAAGACCGTGAGACTCCTATCTCCAATAAACCACCAGAAAACCGGAAGTGGCGCGGTAGCTTAAGTGGTAGAGCGCTCGCTTTGAGCTGAAGAGCTGAGGGACAGCGCCCAGGCCCAGAGTTCAAGCCCCACGACCGACCAAAAAAAAAAAAAAAAACACAAAAGACTAGAGGCACTGGGATATGGTGGCACTCATAATGGAGGCTAACCAGCAAGACCCTGTCTCAACCAAAAAAAAAAGCAAAAACCCTCAAAAGACTAATTGTCATGCAGCATTTAGAAATGCTGGTAGTAAAACATTTTTTACAGTTTTTCTTTTAGTGGTACTAGAGTTTGAATTCTGCTCCATACTCCCGCTGCTTTGCTGTTCAGCTGATGCTCTACCAGTGGAGTGTGCTATTTTGCTGGCTATTTTGGAGGGAATGTCCCAGACTTCTCAGCTCATGTGGCCTTAAACCTTGATCACCTGATTTCAGCCTCCTGAGTAGCCAGGATTATAGATAGATATGAACCACTACCACCTGACTCAGTCTTTTACAATTTTTTGTACAGTTTTAAACAGGGCTTATTTTCAAGGTATCCATGTGTGTGTCTGTGTCAGTAGTGAGACTTGAACTCAGAATCTTAAAAGGCTGGTGCTCTACCATTTGAGCCACATCTCCACATCTGGCTTTTTTGCTGGTTAGTTGGAGATAGTCTCTTGTATTTGAGTGGCCAATGTCTTCAAACCTCAATCCTCAGCTGTCACCTAGCAATACAAGTGTGAGCCACCCTCCCACCCCCAGCTCCAAGATGCCCACTATTAAAAATCTCCCCTAGCTGGGCATGGTGATTCACATGTGTAATCTTAGCACACAGGAGGTGGAGGCTTGGAGAGTATAAATTCAAGGGCAGTCTAGGCAACATAGGTAGTTCTAGGGAAGCCTGAGCTATGAGATCCTGGCTTAAAAACTAAATATAAATCCTCCTATCATCCACATAAACACTTCAAATTTAGATGAAAGTTACTAGCAATAATTTTGAATTCCTATTTTGTTTTAGGAATAGGAAATAGAACAGTAAACCTGCTAAAACTGTTTATTGTTTTGGGAAGGAAGGAAGAAGTGGTGAGAGTGATTGGAATACTTCTAAACATGTAGAAGTTGAACAATGAAATCCTCTCATGTATAATCTAAGCTTAAGAAAAAATAAAGGTTTCTGTAAAACTGGATGCCTAATCTCTCTTCCTTAGACTTAACAATTATATGCTCAGTACACTGAAACTTAGGATTCTTCTCCCTCCCTAAATACAAAGTGCAGGTGTACATACACACTGAAAGAATTCAGCAACCCCAAGTCTGTCATAAGACATATATGATTATAATCATGTAACAAAAACATCCTCACAGAACTCTTCCCAGAGTGCTTCTCTCAAAATTATAATCCAAGACAAAGTCTTGTGCTCTATGAATACATAAATCTTGAGGTCATGATTTGCAAATTCAACCATTACACACTTGTGGGAAACCAGCTCACATTTAATTGTGACATTTAAAAATTGTACAAGTTTTTGACATCTGCTCTCCCACCCCATATTTAGTCTTCTAAAATGACAGGAAAACATCACCAGTCACAGGCTTAATGGGTTTAATAAGTTTACCTCTTCAGTTCCTTTTTGCAGCACCCATAATCCTTTGAAATACCAGTCGACCTGGCAGTGGCCAACAGTAAATTTCCATTCTCCAGAGGAAAAGTTCAGTTTCTCTGAGCATTCTGTGTTGCAGTGGCACTTGTCCAGAATTGGTACCTCCCCATAGTTGGGGAACGTTAAATGTACCAGTGAATAAAAGCTTTTCCCCTTCAAGGGGAAGAAAGAAAGTTATTCCTCAAAACAGCTAATCTGGCTATGAGGTCTTTCCTTCTGTCCCATCTCTTCAGGCTCTTTTATTTATCTTTTTTTTTCTTTTTTTTTTTTTTGCAGTAGAGCAAGAGAGACCAAAACCTAACCTGAGTTACAAGAAACAAGACAGTGATGGCTATAAAGGAAGTATCTAGGAGCAACTGAGATGCTCCTATACCTCCCCCACATCCAATTTATGTGCTTCACAGAAAACAACAAAAATAACAAATCCACAAAATACAACAGCTAGAATTACAAAATCCATTCATCCAAGGGTGCTGGAAGGCAGGAAGGAGAGGTGGGAGGGTAAATGGCACAGACAGGAAAATGAAGTAGTCAAACCATCCAGGCACGGGGGGCTGCAAATGCTAGAAAAGAGCTGTGGTCCTTTCAGACTCACGATGGTGGTAAAAATCCACATACTGGTGTCAAGATTCTGCCTTATGTGCACCAGAGACAAAAATTCAAACTCCACTAACAGAAGAGACTATGCAGAGGGCCCTTGGCAGAGTGGGTCCTGCCTTCCCTGGCAGGGGGAGGAGAACAGAGAAAAGAGCTGCCACAGCTTCCATCCAATCCCACCCATCCCTTCTGAACAGCAGGCGACTCAGTGGCCTGCAGCAGCCTTCAGTTTGGCGGGAGATGGATGCGGTGAAGGAAATTTCTCTGCAGAGGTTGAGCTGCTCAGGGCAGATTGCAGGTAGACTGTCTTGTGGAAGAGTCTGTTGCTTAAGAAGACCACCAAGGAGAAGAGGCGCAACTGGAAAAGGCTAAGGGCAAGAAAACCAACTTGTTAGCTCCATAGCTGATCACAATTAGTGTTTCAATTATGTCATGGCTCATTTGACTACATTAACTCTGTAACTACACTGGAAAAAAAGCAACTGAAATTTGATAAGGAAACACAGATAGCAGACATAGGAAATGAACTGAACAGGCAACTAAAGAATACACCAAAGGGTTGAGAATGTGGCTTTGTGGTAGAGTACTTGCCTAGCATGCATGAAGCCCTGGTTTCATTCCTCAATACTACATAAAAAGAAAAAGCCTGAAATGGTGCTGTGGCTCAATTGGGAGAGTGCTAGCCTTGAGCAAAAAGAAGCTCAGGGGGTCTGGGAAGGCAGCTCAGTGGTACAGTGCTTGACTTGCATGCATGAGGCATGGGTTCGATTCCTCAGCACCACATAAGCAGAAAAAGCTGGAAGTGGTACTGTGGCTCAAGTGGTAGAGTGCCTGACTTGAGCTGAAGAGCTGAGGGACAGCACCCAGGCCCAGAGTTCAGGCCCCACAATCAAAAAAAAAAAGTCTCACAGAATTTCCTGCCCAGGTTGGCTTTCAACCGCAATCCTCAGATCTCAGCCTCCTGAGTAGCTAGGATTACAGGCATGAGCCACCAGCACCCAACTCAATAATATTTTTTAAGAATATGGGGCTGGGGCCGGGCGCGGTTCAAAGCCAGCCTGGGCAGGAAAGTCCGTGAAACTCTAATCTCCAATAAACCACCAGAAAACCAGAAGTGGTGCTGTAGCTCAAGTGGTAGAGCACTAGTCTTGAGCTGAAGAGCTGAGGGACAGAGTTCAGGCCCAGAGTTCAAGCCCCATGACCAACCGACCAAAAAAAAAAAGAATATGGGGCTGAGAAGGTAGCTCAGTGGTACAGGGTTTGCTTTGCATGCATGAGTCCCTGGGTTCAATTCCTCAGCACCACATAAGCAAAAAGAAAAAAATTGAAGTGGCTCTGTGGCTCAAGTGGTAGAGCGCTAGCCTTGAGCTGGAGAGCTGAGGGACAGCACCCAGGCCCAGAGTTCAG